GTGGGCTTCATTAATATGTGAAGTGGCTATTGAACAGCAACACTATCAGCAGAAGATGAGTTGAAATTGGGTGCGCTTTTATTTCTTCTTTGGAAAAGGGATATGAAGTCTGGCAGAGGTCTGCTGTTGGGGGTGAATGGAATGGGTTTTGTCCAGGCATTCTGTTTTGTGTAAGGCTGCTTGCGTAGCCTTGTGCCACGTGGCAGAGGAGGATAATGTTGTCTCTCAGGCAGTGCTTTAAGATCTTCCGTTAGAAGAAATCAGAATAAATGTCAGCTAATTTGTAGTTACTCCTCAGAAGCGACTAGTACTGGTTTGTGGCAGAAGTGGCTAAGTCATTTGCTAACTTCAAGTAAGGATCAAAACTGGATACGAAATGCTAGGATTTCTGTACTAAGTAAACTTCCCAGTAAAAACATGAGCAGTGTTATTTTCAGAAACTTCTAGGAACCTGAGCTGATATATTCCTGCTTTATTTGACAGTGTTTCTGAGGACCAGAAGAATAAATATACGTGTGCCATCTCCTCCTTTTCCCTCCCATATGAACTAAATTTTATCTTTGTGAATGCATTGTTCAATTCCTGACGCTTTTCCCCTCAGCAATGCATTCTTTAAGTGTATATAAGCTTTCTGCATTTGTTTAAGTCTGTAGTTTGTTCTGTCATTTTTCTATAGTGTTAAACAACTGAGTAGATTATAAACATGCTTATCTAACTTGTACAGTTTCACACTCAAGTATTTAGGATTTTAATATTCTACTACATTTTTATTTTTCAAAATCTGTCTTTCATAACTACTTAGTTTTACCTTCAGATTTTAGTAGTTTAAGCATTTAAAAAAATACAAATATAAAAATATAGCTAACTTATCCAATATAAAGGCAGCAACCTGAGTTCTTTTTAAGGTGTACTTACATAGCCAGTTTTCCTTTTGAATTACTTTTGCAAGGTGCTTTCTTCAGTGAGTTTGTAGCTATCTTATGAGGTCAGTTGGAATTTTTTTGTTTTTTTACCCAGATACAAATACGAACAGTCATCTATTTGTCCTTCTGATGTAGGCCAGTGGAATGCAACGTTTGCATTTAAAAGTAAAAACTTCTGAAGACTTTTCTTTTTTTTTAGCCAGTATGTTTTTTCAGAACATACGTTCAATACCTGTTTTATAAAGTGTGCAGCTGACATTCAAAAATGATTTCCTCAAAAATGTCTTGTTTTCCTGCCCGTGGGCATCAAGCACAGGCCTCATCAAAGGTCAGAAAATATTCTCAAAACAGTGTAGGTTCTTAGCAATTTAAATAAGACTTTGTATTCCTTCATGTTAAATATTAATACCATAAACCCTCTTGCATCTCGTGGAACAGCGAGATTACTGGGTCAAAAGGATGTGTTTTCTTCCTTATGGGCATTATACCTTTATGAAAGCTTCAGCTGAAGTAAGTCTTGCATATTTATTGACATTTCTTAGAGGAATGCTTTTTTTCCCCCTGAGTCTATCTGCTTGTTATGAAGGTTTTGCTACCCACAATTATTTAGTCAGTATAAAATGTTTAAGAATGTGTTTGTGAATATATTTTGACAAAATAGAATTTTTCATACTTCTCGTGGAAAAAGTATTTCGATTATCTCAGGTTTTGTGCAACTTTTGGGAAAGACTTTCTTAGTCTCAGTTGTTTTCCACTAGTGTTTAATATAAAGGGGCAATAGGATACACAGCTTAATTTCATTTTCACCTTCAATACATGAAGACGTTTGGGGTCTTTGTTTCAGTACATGCAGCTTGCACCACATTTTTCCACAATAAGAGTTAAGAAAGCAATCAAAAACTTTATTCATGCTGTAAAGAAGTATTAGTTTTAATTTACTTTTTCCACACATAGCACAGTCTAGTAGAGGATTTTATTGGTTAGTAAGCCCTGTGCTTCGATTTTGCAGTTAAATATTTGCATTGCAAGTTAAGGTGTATTGTAGCAATATACAAATGCAACTACAGTTCCTGATCTATTTAAGTATATCTGCTGAATACATAGCCTATTTCCTGATTGCAAATAACATGCCTATCTATGTTATGTTTAATTTATGTCTAATTTATCCTACTAGATAAGATTTGTGTTGCTGCTGTAAAATTGTATTAGAAAAAGCCATGTGGGTTTAAGAAATTGATATCTTACCTGTTTGGTATGTTGAGACAATACAAACGGCTGAGCTCCTGTGAAAATAGTTTCACCAAGATCTACTGTGGAAATTCTTTCTGAGTATGAATGCTGATGCAGAGCTGCCTGCAGCAGCTAAAAAGTTCCTGCTTTCTAGAGGCTTGTGTGGATTTTCTGTGTAAACAAGCATTGTCCAAGATTATAAGCAGGGTAAGTAACTCGTGGTCTTCAAGGGTACAATCAGAGGTTCTTGAGACCTTGCAGGGCAGCTGAAGCCTTGGAACTTAGATGAGTTTGCAGAGTCACCTGTGGTAGGATCAGATGACAGCCAATGAAATGAATGTTGAGTTATACTGTCCTTTATGGCCTAGAGCAATATTCCAACTGTTATTTTTAATCATAGCTACTGCTTCAATTGTACAGAAGTTATGTCTAACCTAACACTTGCAACAAAACAGCATGTGCGTACGAAAAAAAACCATGCCAGCTTGTTCACACGCTTAACTGACCCATTACTACAAACGTAACTACTACTACCAGCACCTCCCCATAGCAACACCATATGGAAGTTGTCATCCCATGCACCACCCAGGGGGTGATGGGGAGGTATCTGCACTGATGATTGCTGTCAGCTGTCACTCACATCTGGGGGTCATCTGACCGATGTGGACCAGGGTCTATATATGTAGCATCTCTCTGCAGAGACTGAAGGCAGGGTCACCTTCTTGCTGCTCAGCAGTCAGCAACGCCGGCATCTTCAAAGGAACTTCCTCGATACTGGCCTGCCACAACTTATGCGTTGCACAGCTTGCTTAATCAGATATTTTTTGGCAGACCATGTCTTAATGGTGTTCGTTTTGGCTATGGACCTTACAGCTCAACTGTTAGTTTTGTTTCTATACAGGCATCTTAAAGCCACAGTTCAGACGTTTGTGTCAGGGAGTTTAAGTGCCACAGGAAGGCTGTACAAACTCTGCCACAGATCTTAGACTTGCATATAGGATAAGTATCTTGTCCAATTCCCAAGTGAGAAGCACTGGTACATACTTTGTATTACAACAGCTGGTGTGTTTTCAGCCTGTAGTGTAAGATGGAGTGTATATGCTACCCAGTGGCCTCTATATGGGAAATAAGAAAGGATCGGTATCTTCACTGAAAAGTGTTTAGTGATCCATAAATCAGAAGCAATTGAAAATGATTGCTGCAAATCTCACCTATGTGCCATTTACAGTGACAGTTTGCGAGCTATGACAATGTCTTGCTGCAGAATTCTCCCACAATTTTTGAAGCTAATCTTAATGAAAGCAGGCATCCAGTATGGCTAATGTTTCTGAGAGGCCAATATTTGATATACACTTGCAACAACTGTTAGAAAACTTTGTTTGACATTGAATTAGTCTTCTGATAAATTGTAACCAGCATCAAAGACGAGTGTGCCCTAGGGGCTTGCTGCTTGTAGTCACGGTTCTAGTATAGGTCCGGGATAGGTCTCAGGCTCTTCCATAAATACTGAGATCCTTGTATCTCGCTGCTCTGTGTGGCATTATTCGGATGCTCTTTATGCTTCCAGCTAAATTTTTCTTTGGTGTCTTTGGTAAAAGCAGCTGTCAGCTCTGCCTCTCTAGCCATAGACAGATTTTCTTTGCAGCTGCAAGGAGTAAACTAGGGCTCCAGGAATGTCAATAGTGTGTATGTCATGTGCCACCACATCTGAATGCGAGGACTAATTCTTCAGGTGTCATTGGGAATCTCTGGTCTCTACCTGGCTCCTTGACCTGTGCGTTCCTGTCAGTTCTCTACCGAAAACCTTCCTTTTCCTTTCCTGCCATCTGTCAGCTGAATCATGGAAACCATGAATGGAGCCATAGAATCATGGAAAATGAGGCTGGAAGGCATCTCATCCGAGCCCTGGGCCTGCTTAGAGAAGTGCTGACTTTCTGACCAGGTTGCTCAGGATGGAAACATTCACGTCCCAGACCAGAATCTGTATTGTCCTGCTCAAAAACTTGCACGCTTATCTCTCTCAAAGCAAAAATAAGTTGTAACTCACTGATCTCTCTCTCACCTGGGATAGACCAGCAACTCTACCCCCTTTTTCCCCCACCACATTTTGAGATAAGAGAACTGGGCCCGTTGCAGTGAATATGAGTGGTCTTCCATAAAACTGCATATTGCTGTGATAGTTGCATTAAGAGTAATACATGTGTTGCTTTGTAATTAAATGATCTGGCTGACGTGGTGTCTCAGTTTTTATAGTCCAATATGCCAATCGCGTGCTGGGACTGAAGCAGTGTCAAGAAAAAATACAGAAAGAGATAAAAGACTGTAGTTAGTTGAGTTAGATATACTGAAACTGTTTTCTAAAACAGCAATAAAAATGGAGGCAATTGCAAGCTTTACCTCATGAGAAGCTTTTTAGCCAGACAAGCCCTGTAAGTGACAGAAGGAATTACTTGTCTCTGGGTGAAACCGCTGTGCCTACACGCTTCTGGGCTCTGTGAGATTGTTAGGTGGCGAAAATGGGGGTTTCGTTTCTTTCTTCAGAGTGAATTTATGAATAGAACTTATTCTTAAAGGTACAAAATTTACCTGTAACGTTTCTGCCAACATAATAGAGAATCATATGAAGAGAGAGCCAATTTTGCTTTAACTGTGAAAGCATGTTATATCTGTAAATAGTGTTTATTTGTATATTTGTAGTACTGCTGTCACCTGAAATGCGTTGACTTGAATTACAGTTATTTTACTGTTCTTCTCCAGCTTTTGATCTGCAACATTTAAAATCATAGATATATTACTACTTTATTGCTGAAACTTTACATACCTGACTGGTTTGCTTTCTCTTTTTAGGTGTCTTGGCTTTTTAATCCAACAAGAAGTGAAATAACAAGTCTAGATAGTGGAAATATAGATGACATTTTAAGTGAGTACTTTGAATTTTTTTTTCTTTATATGTCTACAGTCACATATCTGTGTGAATCTTGCGATGTTATTAAATGAATATGCATACCTTAGCATTGAAAATATAAATTGCAATCGGCATAGAAGTATTAAATGCCCATGATCAAAATTAGCTGTGTGAACTACTGTATCACCTAACAAATTACCTCATTGTAATCTCAATGAGGATTTGAAGTGTCTAAGAAAAATACCTGGTATCTTGTTTGCAGATGGGAATGCCTGATTACGTAACCAAAACCCGTCAAGAGAGTATTTTAAAAGTTCCCCAAAAAATAGCAGCAACTGAAACCCATGGTGATGGGCCTTTAAGTATCTTGCTTGTTCAGCTATGTTTTTCCTGAGGTTAAGCATTGTCCTGATTCTGGTGGCTCATAGAAAGGAGACTAAGTGAAACAGATGTGTAATTCCGTGTCTGACAGCTTTTTGTCTGAAAAGTACGCAATTTGCCTGTATCTGGTTGTCTTCACAGGAAAAAAGTTATTACATTGTTTCAAATATATTCAGAAAAAAATCTTTATATTCTTTTATTTAGGTCTGCACTAGAATCTGCCTACTATTGCAGGATTGCTTTGTGTAGTAAATGTATGATTAGGTGATGTAAGATCTGTTTGCAAATACCTTTTATCCAGTGGAAAATATAGAATCCTTTTGTAAAATGTTATTCATAAAAGGGAATATATGCCAAGTGTAAGTACTTTTAAAATTTATCCTATTACTTTCAATAAATACTTCATGCCTTGGAGGTAACCCTGAGTTTCTCTGTGCTTGTTAATTTCCTGTTCACCACTTGCATTCCTTGCTGCTAATGAAAACCTTAACGCCATAATTTTCATCAAACCGTAGTTTTTCCCAGCCTTCTCAAGAGTTGTCTCTTCCAGCATGTTGTCTTTCCCAGGCTTCCAACATCTTAATCTTCACTCGTAACTGCCTTGTAACTTTGTCAATAGTGCAAATTCGTCTAGCAACATTTCTGCTTTATAAGGCTGTGGCTGATATTCTATAGTTCCAGTATTTATTTCAAGGTTTTTTTTCAATGTCTATGCCACTACTACTAATAAAAATCAATTTACGGCATGGTTGTTATACTGTGTAAAGATCACAATTTATTTTTCAACAGGAGATTTGTCCTTCTAGTTTTGATACATTTTTCCTTTTTTTTGGTATGTGAAAAATAATGTATAGGAGCATTATTTTACTACCTCATCATATATATCCCTATAGTATTGCATTTTTTTGAGTGTCCCTTAGCGTTTTTCTTTTTTGGGGGACTGAAGATTTCTCTGCTACCTTTTGCCTTAGTATCCAGCTTCTTAGCAACTAAGGCAGGTAAGGACTGACCAGAGCAGGTTGCACGGGCAGGCTGCATGTTGATCACTTTTCTAACCCAAATAGTTGGCATTTCAGCTTTTAACTGTTTTTTAACACTTATGAATAATCTAGATAATGCTTAAAAGATATACTAGAGTACAACTTCTGCCTTTGAGTGCCTTAACTTTAAATCCAGAATTACTTTTTGTCTCATGTGTCACTTATTTACTTTTGTGTCTTAATACCTTAAGTATTGACGTTTTTAATGTCTAATATATCAATAAAGTCAATAAAATACTTGACTGAAGGCCTCTTTCATCACTTTCCCATTTGATATAGATTATATTTCAGATAAGATTTATCCTAGCAGTTTTCTAGCAATCAGACTAAGCTGTATGCTGAATAATCTAGAAATACTTGCTTTTATACTTTTTGTGCGTATTTTTATAATTTCAGATAAAAGCACAAAGAAGTTTGGTTCACAATGTGACATTGGGTTTTTTCTTTTTCTTTCCTCTCAGACAACGCAGATGTTGCTTTAGTTAATTTTTATGCTGATTGGTAAGTTATACAAGTTTTTTTTCTATGTTTAAACTTCTGTCTCTTGAAAACTGTCATGTTTGGCTATAGTTTTCTAATTGAAAATACAGTGGTGTGTTGCTTTCAAACTAGTTCTTTCCTGGTTTTTTCATGTCCTGATTACTTCCCCTTCTGCTGTTCTGCCATCTTTTGTTTCATTCAGGGCTCCTGTCAGAGGAAAAAGGCTTCTGTAGTAGTATGGAATAACATGCTATGTAATCGCGGTTTTTTGTTTGTTTGGTTGTTCCACCCCCCACCCCCCCTTAGCAAGACAGATTTCTTTAACCTTTTGCTCTTTAACATAGGATAGTCCAAAATATTCTATTTTTCCATTTTCTTCTGTGTTGGTCCCATGCATGTGTGCTAGAAAAAAAAGGCCTTGAAATTACACTAAAAATAAATCCTTCTCTAATCTGGAAGACCTTCCAAATGGAGAACTAGAGAAATTATAGTTGAGGGATGAAATATGAGCAACTGGAAAAGGAAAGAATTTGGGCCCAGATTGGTTAGACATTGTGAAAGACATACTTAGAGGGAACTGTTTACTTGAAATTAAAAAAAAAAAAAACAAACTTGCATACAAAATCGTTGTTAGAATTAATTTAAGCACCGTACCCCTTTTTTTTAATTGTGTAAGAAGTAATTTTAAATGTTCTGTTCTGCTCCATCATTAATATTTTTAGAAGAATCTTTAGCAAGGAAGAAATCAGAAAAGTATTCAGAGAAAATAAAATTTAACATGCAAATTAATATAGAAAATTAAGTTAGAAAAATAATTAATTTTTTGTCTTCCTTGATTAAAGCAATCTTGGATGTAAATAGCTTTATAGTGTAAAGCAATATATAAACCAAAGTACTACGCTTTAAATATTCCTCTCCCTGCTGTTTTGCTTT